GCGGCGTAATAGAGAGCCAGCGTTTAAGATTATGGTAATGCATACCGGTTCGTGTTATAGGCGCAATGTGACCTTCTTCAGAGCACTGATTATTGATCATAAAATTTGCATAATCTCGTGGCACAGGCCGCATCTCGATGCGGCGATCAAAGAATGCGCGTTCATGCTCAATTTACAGCCGAGATCTCTTTTATTCGTGTGTCATCATCCAGCGGATATCGATTCTTATTGGCTGATGATTTTTGAAAAAAAATAAAAACCATTTTTTCCATCGGTTTAAGCGAAAATTTAGAATTATTATTATAACTAGTATATATATATATAGCGTTCAATTATTATTGGAGAGGTATTGAAGTGTCATTCGTGGAAATCGATGTAATGGCTTATGAAAGCCATTCGAATGCTTGTAAATGAAACTATTAAATCGAATCGTCGATCGGATTATTCTTGACTCGTATCTGAATTACGGATATTAAATGTCGTTTATATTGCCAGAAATATGGGTAAAAAGTGACTTAGTTAATATTAAAAATATGTTAATGTATGCTACAGTGAAATACGAATATTGAAGTATTTATATAGATAAGAGATGATTCTAAAGTGAATCGAAAATATAAAATTTCTTTTATTTCGTTTTTTGAGAAAAACAAGTTTGACGAATTTTTAAGCGAAATTGGCAATTTCAAAATGACAAAAAAATGTAGAATAACATTTTTTCATTTAAACATTTTTTGCGAAAATTGAATTTGAAAATTCAATTACACTTCTTTGATTCTTTGATTTTTGCATTTAATATTTTGATTTTTTCAAAAAGACAATTATATATATAAAATAATTAGTGGATAGTTCATTAATATCTAATCGAAAAATAATTAATTTTTTAATTGTTTGAAAATTTTTCTTCCTTTGAATTTCCTTTATTCGAAAGCGAAATCACTTCAAAATCACGTTCTATTCACGATTGTATCTATCAATTGCAGTATAACTTGTACAAAGTATCTTTGAAGAAAGATGAATTATTTTAAAAAAGATAGAATGGTGCTTTAAAGTTTCGATATTTCTTTATCAATATTTTTTAAAGTACAACGTTGGCACGAGGTTTATTAAACTTTAAATTTATAAATTCTTCAACTTTTAACGTTCTATTGCTCTGTTATAAAAGATTTTATTAAAGGAACGAAAACTTTAAAGTTACATTTCATCCTCTCAAAGTGATTTTTCGCTCAAAAAGAAGTTGCTCGTGTATATAAACACTCTAATCCATCATGCTTTACATACGCACAAACTTTCATTAAAATTAGGATTTTCAGATTTAAGTGAATTTTCTTGTAAAGTAATGAACGAATACTTTCGTGGGCTACTTTATGTACACATAAATTTTAACAACTTCAGCCATTTAATATTTCAATCCCTTCTACTTGGCTTTTCCCCTATCCAATTTTTATTTTCTTTTAGAAATGTACTATCAATCGGATGATATATAAACTTTTTTAACTTTTCTCAATGTCAATAATTTTATTATTTTATGTCAAATTAGATTATAAATAAAAAGTATATAAAAATTATCCTAATAAATAAAAATATTCATTATATGTGTGCTCCACCATAAGAGTTGAAAGGAAAAATATTTTATAATGAAACTATT